ACTAAACATGAATAAGAATGTGTTATAGTTTTCCTCAAACACAACATTAACTTTCACACTTGCATATCTTTACGTTTCCTCTTTTCAGATTCTTCTTCCAAGCAGAGCTCAAACATCACTTCTCTATAGCCTTCTTTGATGTCTCAACTTCCATCCCAAAGACAGAATTAGTTTCTCCTTAATTTGTATTTTTAACAATTTATACACATTTATAGCAATTATTACCTGTCAATCTAATTACCTATGTATGTCTCTTTTGCACATTGTGCAATCTTCCAGGACACCTCCATATCTTATTCTGCTATTTAAATATATTATCTGGGTAATAAGTATTTATTGCATTGAATTTTTAAATATTTCATATCCACTACCACCAAACTGCCAGCCTCTTGAGGGCAGAACATTAAACATATTTCCTTATAGTATCCTACAAGCACCTTTCGAATGGATGAATCAATGACAAGACAGTGACACAAACACTCATACATGGCACTAAATGAGCCAGTACAGCCACAAATGTGTCTAGGCTTACCGGTCCGTGGCATGTGAGGAGACCATCTTCCATCTTCTCACACTGGGGGTCACACTCCACACAGATGGAGCCATTCTCAAACTCCCGAAATTCACTGTGAAAACATCAGCTGCATGAGGAGGTATAAGCAAACAAGCTGTCAACTTAACAAATGCAGTAACATCTGCTAAAAGTCCTATTGGCAGAGTAAATTCTAGAGCTTGTTTCTCTACGTGCCAGGAGCATCAGAAACATTTTCCTGCACATTAAGGAGTAAGTTTTCCATTAGGAGAAAAGATAAAGTGCAGACAGATGGCTTTTCTTGGGTTCAACGATAGACTCATTCTGGAAACCTCTCTCCTGTGAGAGATATTCTAGCAGTCTCCAAAAAAAAAAAAAAAAGTGTAACTCTTCTGATGACACAGCAGGACTGTTTTTACCTTTTTAAGTAGGGCTCTGCCTGTTTTTCTCTATATAAAATTTTATTCTTTGCTGAAGCTTTAACTTCTAAACTCTGAAAAAACTATTGTATTTTTCTTGTTGCTACGTTACATGAATGTTCTCCCATCCTTGTCCTTCAAACCCCAAGATGCTTCAATTTATTTGTGGTGAAACTTCAAAAAACGCTTTGATTTTTTTTTCTCCTTTAAAAATATCTGCCTTGGAGAATTAGAAAAAAAATATCTTTTATGTTAGATTTTATTTTCTTAGATTATTGATCTAATATCACAACGTCTTTCTTCAGTCTAAATTCTTTTTGAAGTAATTCTACATGGTATAAAAAAATAGTTTAATGGTAACATACCAAAACTTCCTAACTGAAATCTTCTGAGATGATAATAATCTTTTCCTACATCCTCACATTTTGCAGCTATTTGTATGCTACATGACATCAATATATAAATTTTTCAATCATTGTTCTACTCCAAAATTTTTATTTCAAAAATTGGTTATCTGTCATCTACAATATGTTTAAACACATCATTCTCAATATACAAGAAGATGAGATACTGGGTAAAAATAATTTAGAATATCATTTATGAGTCATTAACAAAATTTGACTAAATATTTACAGCTACTTTATTTTGTGCTTTCATATCCTGAGCTAACATTTCAAACAAATAGCATTACATATATGGCAATTATGGATTAATTAGGTGATAAATTTAACTATATTTTTCCCTAGAGTGAAATGTTTACTTTTTTCTTATTTGAATACTGTAAAATCTTAATAAAAGCCTACAGTCCAAAGGGTGAGTTATGTTTTCTATTGGTTAGATTAAGGCTATATCTATTCCAAAACAAAATAATTGTTTGATTTTTTTAAATGAATTGCATAAATAGATAGTTTAATTATGCATGCAGTGCACATATATTTAGTTACATGGATTTTGCATGTTTTAAAGTGAGTTATTAGTTTGTTATGAATCGAACTTTTTATGAATTCTCTCGAGTTTAAAATCTTAATTACATAAGAACAGGTTTCATTTTTTTTTTTCACATGCTTCATCAACACGAGTGATATAAAGTACTCAACAGAGGAAAACTTCAGAATGTAAAGGTCAAAATGACCTGGTATGGGGTGTAGTTAAACTGTGAAGAAAATTTTAAAAATATTGTTTGTATAATGAAATTATGTAACAGTTACATGCTTCATCAACACGAGTGATATAAAGTACTCAACAGAGGAAAACTTCAGAATGTAAAGGTCAAAATGACCTGGTATGGGGGGTAGTTAAACTGTGAAGAAAATTTTAAAAATATTGTTTGTATAATGAAATTATGTAACAGTTACAGCAAAGACTGGAATCATCATATAATTACTGGTTTTGGATAATAGTTTCTTGAGTGATTAAAGGGTTATGGTACTAAATAAAGAACATAATTTTTATGATACTTAAACATAGGTCATTCTTCTCTTAGTCTTCTCCAAAACCTACTTCCCCACATACAGAGTTGAGAAGTAAAATGTATATGTCTCCCTTTCAGCTCTCAGAAAAGATCTTCCTTGCAGTCTCTTTTCTTCTGTGTTTTATTGTTGCTGTCTTTATCATTGCTCTTTTTCTTCCCTGTCCCCTAGTGTTTCTATTATGACTTAGCCAGAGTTCTCCTAACACTTGAATCTAACCTAAGAGATTACAGTGTGTTGAGCATGAGCTTTACATACTGCGTTTTGTTTCACTTGTTTGTGCTGAGATACATTTCTCACTGTTTTGTTGTATGTGTGTTACCTAAGCCAATCCTGTGATAAAGAGTAAATACTTTGGAATCTAGTCTGTCCCAAATTTAAATTCCAGCACCAACACTAATATTTCTAAGCCTTAAATACTTTAATTTTTCTAAGTTTCAGATTCCTAAATATCCTCTGTAAAATGGAAAAATAGAGTTTCCTTGAGAGGTTGCAATTATTAAGTGTAAAAATGAGTGCAAAAAAATTAGACTGGCACTACATTTGATGTTTCTATGTTTGTCTTAAAGTTTCAGAAGAGTTTAAACATGTTGCCATGTAAGGAAAGCTTGAAGCCTTCACTGCAATGAACCTTTCATTTTGATCTACTGTGCACTGTAGTTAAGAGTGCTGAAATAAAGTGACTTATATGACATAGATTTGAATGCTAATAAGCTAGGAATTGACTGATTTTCTTTTTTTCCCTTCAAAAATCCTCTTTTTAGGATTTCTTCTCTCCTAAGAGCCATATAGATAGATAGATAGATAGATAGATAGATAGATAGATAGATAGATAGATAGATAGACAGATAGATAGATAGATAGACAGACAGATGGATAGATAGATAGATAGATCAATCAATAGATAGATATATATAGGCTCCCCTGATTTTGGTGAATGTCACATTTGGATTTGATTACTTCAGATGGATAGATAGATAGATAGATAGATAGATAGATAGATAGATAGATAGATCAATCGATAGATAGATATATATAGGCTCCCCTGATTTTGGTGAATGTCACATTTGGATTTGATTACTTTCAGCAATTTTTAAGATGACTGTTCTACATAACCATTTAATCAGCTTGAATTAATAGATAAAAGAAGAAATAATGACAATATTCATGGCAGGAACTCTAACAAGATTGTAACGTTTTCTCATTTGATAATCACCACTATCCTATAAAGTTAACACCATTAGTATCCCATTTTTCATGTAAGAAAATTGAGTTTAGAATGATGAGGGGTTTTTTGTCCAAAACTGAACATTTCAACCATGAAGTGATGAAGTTAGGATTTGAATTCATTCTTCCTCCAAAGCTACCCTAACAACCAGGCAATGTTGAAAGAAACTAGCTAATGCCACAAGATGGGAAGCAGAGAATCAATCATTGGGCAGGCAAGAATTACATCAGACTTTCATAAGTTACTTTCATTTCCTATCTTTCAAACTTACCCTATGCTTATGATTTCATGGGGGCCCAATACTATTGTGAAATGCATTAAAAACCTTAAATATCTCTTAACAGGTTTGATTTAATTATGTAAGTATGGAAAATGTTAAATACCCAAAACAGTCTGGTAACCAAAGTTTATTTAGGAAACCTGCATTTTTTGTTTAAAGTCCTCAACAAGATATTAGAAAACAGAATACAGCAACACATCAAAAAGATTATACATCATAATCAAGTGGGATTCATCCCAGGGATGCAAGAATAGTTCAATAAATGTGATACAACAAATCAACAAAAGTGAGGACAAAAACATATGATTGTCTCAATAGGTGCAGAAAAAGCATTTGACAAAACTCAGCAAGACTTCCTGATAAAGACCCTCACCAACTAGGTATAGAAGGAAAATATCTCAACACAATAAAAGCCATATATGAAAAATACACTGCCAATATCATCCTGAATGGGGAAAAACTGAAAGCTTTTCCTTTAAGCACAGGAACAAGGCAAGCATGCCCACTCACACCACTCCTATTCAACACAGTATTGGAAGTATTAGCCAGAGCAATCAGGTAAGAGAAAGAAATAAACAGCATCCAAATTGGAAAAGAGTAAGTCAAATTGTCACTGTTTGCAGATGATATGATCCTATAAATAAAAAAAACCCATAACCTCTACCAAAAAACTCCTAGAGCTCATAAACAAATTCAGTAAAGTTGCAGGATATAAATCAATACACAAAATTCAGTAGCAATCTTATACACCAACAACAAACAAGTAGAAAAATAAATCAGAAAAGCAAGCCTATTAACAATAGTTACCAAAAATTAAATATCTAGTAATAAATTTAACCAAAGAGGTGAAAAATCTCTTATAAAGAGAACAACAAAATTCTTCTGAAAGAATTTAGAGAGGACACCAAAAGATGGAAAGACATTCCTTATTCATGGACTGGAAGAATTAATGTGAAAATGTCCAGACTACCCAAGGTGAGCTACAGATTCAATGCAATCCCCATCAAAATACCAGTGAAAATCTTCACACAAATAGAAAAACAACCCTAAAATTCACATGGAACAACAAAAGACCTAACTAACCAAAGCAATCCGGAGCAAAGGAAAAAAAAAAAAAGCCAGAGGCATTACACAAATTGATTTCAAACTTTACTACAAAGCTATGGTGACCAAAACAGCATGGTACTGGCATAAAAACAGACACATGGACAAATGGAACAGAACAGAGAGTCCAGAAATCAACTCAGGTACTTACAGCCAACTGATCTTTCACAAAGACACCAAGAACATACATTGGGTAAAGGAAAGCCTCTTCAGTAAATGGTGCTGGGAAAGCTGGATATCCATGTTCAGAAGAATGAAACTAGACCCATAACTCTCACCTTATACCAAAATCAACCAAAAATGGATCAAAGACTTAAATAAAATCTGAAACTGTAAAACTCCTGGAAGAAAACATAGGAGAAAGACCTCAGGAAGTAGGACTGGGCAAAGACTTTATGACTAAGACCCCAACAACACAAGCAACAAAAGAAAAATAAAAGGGATTACATCAAACTAAAAAGCTTCTTTGCCACAAAGGAAACAATCAACAGAGTGAAAAGAGAACCTACAGAATGGAAGAAAATATTTGCAAACTATACATCCAACGAGGGCTTAATATCCAGAATATACAAGGAACTCAAACAGCTTCATAGTAAAAAAAATCAAATAATCCAATTAAAAAATGGGCAAAATACATTTTTCCAAGGAAGACCTACAAATAGCCAACCAGACACATGAAGAACGATCAACATCACTAATCATCAGGGAAATGCGAATCATCATTTTGCAGAAGTGATAGAAAATGGTGTATGAATTTTGTTCTTCTTACAAGTTAAAACTGAAATACTAAAAAAAAAATGGATTTTGGAAAGGGAATAGGATAAAAATCAGATGCCTTGAGTTCTAGTGTTGGCTTGATTGAGATCTAGTGTTGACTTTGGCCAATACTTAATTACACAAGTTCTCTGGATTTTGGAAAGGGAATAGGATAAAAATCAGATGCCTTGAGTTTTAGTGTTGGCTTGATTGAGATCTAGTGTTGACTTTGGCCAATACTTAATTACACAAGTTCTCACTGTTTATAAGATGCTGCTGTTACATAAAACGATTTCTAGAATCCATTCCCTTCTGAGAACTGTACATATATATTCAGTAAACTTTTAAGATAACATTTGCTTAATAAAATTAAAGTCTATTATATGTTATTTTAATGGCATCAATTGTTGCACACACAAACAAGTGTATTTTGATCCAGAATATTTTGTGCACAGAAAATATTTTTTCATAATAATGTAAACAATCATGAATATGATTTAATAAGACAAGCAGCACATAATTTGCTATTCATTATCAAATTTATAAGTCAAATGTATCCTATAAAATTGGTGAAATTTCCCTGAAAATTATTAAATTCTTATTTAAAGTATTTTTTGTACTTAAACTTCTAATTTGAATCTTTTTCTTCTGAATTTCAAGGAAGGAATTGGTTTTGGTCATCTTTCAAAGAAGAGACATGTAAATATTATTATCGGTAGATTTTATCCTGATGTAAAATGCAAAACTGCAATGTTATTGGGGATCATGAAAACATTTAAATAAGACAATTCACGAGGCATAAGAAGAAATAAAATAAAGAACTTCAAAACTACACTTTACAAAACTATTGAAAATACTTTCAGTGAACAATATAAGAAAACTTAGAAACAGTACTAAAAAATGCATTATAACAATAATGAAGGACAGCTATGATGCATAAAATGGTATGTTATGATAAAGTGATTTTATGACTATTTGAAATGCCATGCAACTAGACCTATACTAGCTTTTATTATTGGCAATATGATTATTGTAGTACTAGAGGCAATTTAAAATATTTGATTTAAAATATTGCTTACCTAGAATGCAACATCTAGAAAGTGGCAGAACACTTTTGAAAACCTCTTCAACTAGAAACTACAAAGGTGGTTTTTCTAAAGGTTTAAGCAGATGTCAAAGACATAGAAATGTGGGTTGTTCCTGATACACAAATAGACATATGACATGAATTGGAAACAATCAAAAGATATGCTGTAACACCAGATGAAAATTAATAGGAAATTATGAGAGAGATACTAGCTTTTATTATTGGCAATATGATTATTGTAGTACCAGAGGCAATTTAAAATATTTGATTTAAAATATTGCTTACCTAGAATGCAACATCTAGAAAGTGGCAGAACACTTTTGAAAACCTCTTCAACTAGAAACTACAAAGGTGGTTTTTCTAAAGGTTTAAGCAGTTGTCAAAGACACAGAAATGTGGGTTGTTCCTGATACACAAATAGACATATGACATGAATGGGAAACAATCAAAAGATATGCTGTAACACCAGATGAAAATTAATAGGAAATTATGAGAGAGAAAAAAAAATTGGGAGGACATATGGAAGGAAAGATTACTTATAACAGCCACCTTCATATTTATTAAGAATTGTCTAAGTATATACATTTTTAAATGTACATAATAGTAAATAATATGTTTAGACTTGTTATTTAAAATGCAATTATTTCCCCTCAACACAATTGTTTTATATGTTTCTCCTTTATACAAGAGCTGTCCTTAAAAATCTTGACCTACAAACACATTCTGAAATTTTGCCATTTTCTCACAACTTTTAAATCTGAGCTAATCAGTACTTCACAGCTCGTAAAGTAAAGACAACATGAGAAACAGCCTTACCCATCATAGAGGTTACAAGATTCTATGCAGATCCTTCCCCTACTGAAGCGGCGGCAAGACAGGCACTGGTCCGGCCCAGGTCCCCAACAGCCATCACTTGAACACAGGTGGTTGCACACCATTCCTTCAGCAGCTGCAAAACACACCAAAATCAAGGGGAAACAAAACAAAAGATCATGTCAAAACTTACAATCTTCCTAGGAGTTTGTTTGAAAGAGAGCTGTAGCAAACAGCTTTGGTCGCCTATTCAATCAGCATGTCCCACGCTAACCCCACCTTCTTCCATATTGCAAAATCCTACTCATTGTGATCATAAGATTGAACAAAAGCCAATTGTCCATATAAAATAGGGGGAGAGGTGATAGTAATTAACCTTCGAAGGTAAAGGGCAAACCACACCTTTCCCGAGCCAACACTTTGCTCCACTAATACACCAAATACTTTGGCTTCAATTCCATCTCAGAGCTTCATGAAGAAATAGAAAAATGATACTGTCATAAAACAAAAGAAAATATTGAAAGAGGAAGAGAATGAAAAATATATATATTGAAGAAAAGGGGAAGGAATAAAAATAAAACATCCCTTTTTTACAGGCTTCTGCTATAGTCTTACTAAGCCCACGTTGATATTAGTCAAGTTGGCATATGTAAAAAAAAAGTTTTGAAAGAATATCCAACATGAAAAATATATATATTGAAGAAAAGGGGAAGGAATAAAAATAAAACATCCCTTTTTTACAGGCTTCTGCTATAGTCTTACTAAACCCACGTTGATATTAGTCAAGTTGGCATATGTAAAAAAAAAGTTTTGAAAGAATATCCAACAAGTTGCAGTGGTTATTTATGAGGAAGTGTAAAGATTAATGTCGTCATAATGATCTTTATTTTTATCTCTATTGTTTTTGTTGATGAAAGTGCCAAAGAATTTTGGGGCCATGATTTTGAAATTGCCTCTTAAGGTTCACCATCTCTTTTGCCTTTTATACCAAATAACATTTATTCATTTATTTAAACAATAACATTTATTATTTATACTGTATAACGTAATTTTTGTGGAGGGATACTAGACGTTGAATAAGAAGGTCCATAAAGACGGCAAATGTTATTCTAGGTATATGAAAAGTGATTTGAAGCATTCGAATCACCATTTTATATGTTTATGAAATGTTAAGAATTCTCAAGAAGATAAAAACATCAGAATCTTCCTTATCTTCCCTTTAGTTACCAATTTTACTTATTATGAGATGTGAGATTTTATGGCAAGAGCATTTGTAAGGTGGGTTGGGATGGTATTGAACATGTTAGTGTAATAGAAGCAGGGGATCATATCTGTGAAATCTGCAAAGTAAACTTCTCTAAAGTATGCTTGTGAGAGTGAATTGCCATCATCTGTGATGCTGACTAGTTTCAAAACAGTGAAACAATTCTCCCAATTCATGTTTTCTTTGTCCTATGTCCTGCGGCTAAGATCATTGATCTTTTCCTGCCTTTGGATTGGGACTAAGACCATCAGGGATCTTGGTTCTCAGGCCTTTGAACTTGGATTAGAATTTACACCATCAGTTTGCTTGGATCTCAGGCCTTGAGAAGCAGACTGGAACCACAGCACTGGTTTTCATTGGTCTACAGCTTGCAAGTGCCACACAGTAGGCCTTCTCAGTTTCCATAACTGTGTAAACCAATTCCTTACAATAAATCTATTTGTGTGCATGTATACATATATATACACACACATGTATATACATACACACATCCTATTGGTTCTGTTTTTCTAGAGAACCCTAATACAGTACCATTCACCCTAATCAACTCAAAATGGATCATATAGATAACTGTAAAACCAAAATCCATAAAACTTCTAAAATATCAGAGAAAACCTTTGTGAACTTGGGTTAGACATATGTAAAGCTTTTTTAGATATGATGCCCAAAGCCCAGTTCATAAAAGAATAAATTGATAAATTGTACCTTCTCAAAATTAAAAATTACTTTTTAAAAAGTCAGTGTTAAAAGAATGGAAAGGCAAAGATAAGACTGGGAAAAATATTAGCAGAATATAAAAAGAACTCATGATACTCAGTAATAAGACAATTAAAACCATAATGAAAAAGTATTTCATACCGATTAGGAATGGTAAAATTAAACAGACTGACCATACCAAGTGTTGGCAAAGATGTGGGTAATTTCAACTCCTGAATTGTGTTCACTGATGGTGGGAATGTAAAATGGTGTGACTACTCTGATAAACAATTTGACAGTTTCTATACCTACCATAGTATCCAGCCATTCCACTCCTAGGTATTTACCCAAGGGACAGTAAAGTGTATGTCCTTACAAAGACTTGTACACAGATATGTATAGTAGATTTTTTTATTTTATTTTATTTTTTTGGTGGCTGGCTGGTACAGGGATTGAACCCTGGGCCTTAGTGTTATACTAGCTTAATTTTTAATAGCCAAAAATGTGAAAAAGTCTAAATGTCTGTCAGTAGGTGAATGGTTTTTAAAAATGTGGCATATCCATACAATGGAATACACTCAGTAATAAAAATAAATGAATTATTGATATACACAGCAACAGTGATGAATCTCAAAATAATTATGCTGAGTAAAAGAAATCATATAAAAAGAAAGCACATACTGTACAATTCAATTTATATAAAATTCTAGGAAATACAAACTAATGTACAGTGAGAAACAGAAAGTAAACGAGTGGTTGTCTGAGAGCGGTGGGGCAGGAAGAAGGGATTACATAAAGTCAAGAGGGATCTTTTGGTGATAATGGACACATTTATTATCTTGATTGTGAATTCTCTCTTTCTCCACCTGTTTATTCTATTCAGGCCCTCAGTGGACTGGATGACGCCTACCTACATGGGGGAGGGAAATTTGCTTCACTCAGTTTACCAATTCAAATGCTAATCCCATGATAATGGACACATTTATTATCTTGATTGTGAATTCTCCCTTTCTCCACCTGTTTATTCTATTCAGGCCCTCAGTGGACTGAATGACACCTACCTACATGGGGGAGGGAAATTTGCTTCACTCAGTTTACCAATTCAAATGCTAATCCCATCCAGAAACATCCTTGCAGACACACCCAGAAATAATGTTTAACTAAATATCTGGGTATCTTGTAACCCAGTTAAGTTGACACATAAAATTAACCATCACAGTTACCATGTAGGGATCTATTCATTTTTTGCACATACATAACCAATATTTCCAGCACTATATTTGAAAAGACTTTCCTTTCTCCACTAAATTACCCTTACATAGTCTTTAAAAAATAAGTTTTCCATATATTGTGGTTCTATTTCTGGCTCACTACTCTGTTCTATTAATTTTTTTTCTCACTTGACATCTGGATTCCTTTGAAGTTACCACCTTATTTATCATCATTACTGAACATAGTCACAGGTCAGAGGTTGTGTGAGGCATGCACAACTGTGTCTTCAGTCACTGTGTTCCTAGTATTAGCAATAACATGTAAGCCTTCTTTCATGCTACACTTCTTTTGCAAACCTCCTACATCTCCTAAGCCTCTGGTCACTGCCAATAGCATGCTATTTAAGATATTTACTCTTCACTGACATAAGGATACCTTAGCCACGTGGTTGAATTAATGAAGTCACATTTGGGGAAAAGTACATCGCATAAACATTTTTGATGGAAATTTCAGCTGGAGGGTGAGCAGAAGAGCTGTCAAGGAGTAACAAAATCTTTCAGTCATGATCCAGTCCAGCTTCCCTGCAGTAAGCATGAGCCACCGGTACAAAATGTTTGTAAAACCAATAAGAAAAGATGCCCTTGGTAACTCATGCCTTTTTGTTAGCATAATGAATTGGTAATAGATTCACTCCTTGAAAACGGCAAGGACATAAGCTTTTGCCTACCACAGCAAACTTACACTGATGTGTGCCTACTGCATTAGTACCTCTCGGCATGGCTATTCTGTCCTTGGCATCCTTAATTCCTGTAGAGCCTGTCTCATCAGCTGTGATCAGTGCCTTTCTGGGGCAATGATGCCAAAACAGTGATGTTTTGTTGGCATTATAAACTTGTTCTGGCATCAATTTTTATTAGCAAGGACCTTGGCAAACTCATCAATGAATTGCTCCACTGCTTCGTGATTAGCAGATAATTTATCACCACAAATATGTAAAAATTTAATGCTGTGTATTTTTTTAAGTTTCTGCAACCAGCCTGTTGAACAGTCACAGTTCCCTTCAAGTTTCACTTTATCGTAATAGAACTTTGCTTGTTTTATGATCAGCATACCATTAAGTGACATGTGTTCACTATCATCACAGTGACAGATCCACTTTTTCAATACACAATTGAGATCTTCGTTTTTACCTCCATGCAGTGTTTTTCTGTTTCATGCACTTCTGTTCATCACTTTCAGTACAGAACTTCAACAGGTTATCCTTCTGTTTCTTAAAGTCATATGCGGTAGTCATTCCAACACCATACTCTTTTGTAAGATGTTTTACACTTACACCACTGTTCAGTTTCTCCAACAGCTTGACTTTCTGTGCTATAGATAAATATAAATGCTTCCTCTTTTCTTATCGCTGTTATTGGGAGGGATATCTAAAGGCCGTTTTGATGTGTTCAACAATATCTTTACACCACAGAGCAGAAAATAAGCAAAAAAACATAGTCTCAGCCTCATGTGGGGTATTGCGGAAAACCTGCTGTTGGTGCATTGAGCCTGCACAAGTGCCATTTTATTATCCTTTATGGGCATGCTTTCATGGGGGAATCTGGAGTGTGTGAAAAAGATACATTGCAGCTGAAGAGGGCTGGGAGGGTCTTTTTCCCCTAGGGGATGCTGAATAAACTGTGTGTTTTGTACCTGTGTTTTGACTGCATCCCATCACGTGAGGTCAAGTGTGGAATTTGCAGCTTGTGTTAAGATGTTGGCACTCAAAAAGTTTTGGATTTTGGAGTGTTTTGGATTTTAGATTTTTATATTAGGAATGCTCAACCTTATAAATGGAATCATATAATGGTAACTTTTTAGGATTGGCATTTTTCACTCAGAATAAATCTCCAGAGATTCATCCAGGTTGTTGTGTA